GCTGGTCATCTATGAACATTTGAACATCTTGAAGAGCGATCTGGCCTTAATGGCCATGTACTCTTATAATCTCTACCCTGCACAGCCAGTAGAGGACTGGCCACCCCTCAGAGCCTGGTTCCTCTCTAGGTTTCTTCCTAGGTTCCTGCCTTTCTAGGGAGTTTTTCCTAGCCACTGTGCTTCTACATCTGAATTGCTTGCTGTTTGAGGTTTAAGGCTGGGTTTCTGTATTAGCACTTTGTGACATCTGCTGATGTAAAAAGGGCTTTATATATAAATGTGATTGATAGAAGAATGCAAGGCGTTTTACTCTAGCCCAATATTGGACTAAAGGAGCCTAACATTACACCTTAGTCCAAGGACCTTACGTGTTCTGTTTAAAGGGCGAATTGGCTCTGGAAGCCAAAACAGCCAAATACTGCATCAGAGAGGCTGGACGGGTTTGGGGTTTGGGTGGTGTAGTGGGGGGAGGAAATGGGAGGGACGTGGTGTCTAGGGCTTTATTTCACTTTCTTAGAGGAACAGGACTAATGAAGAGAATTTAATGTAGGTAGGCCGTGACTGGCCTCACACTCCCGTACAGTAGGTGGCAGTGTATGCATTTTCAAAGTTGGATGCGATCCGCCAACCCAATCTCGAAGAAGAAGAAGAAGCCTTTGTCTGCTGACTGATGTGTAATGTAATGGAACTGAGAGTCATGATCAAGGGCTACCGTTACACATTTCTTAGCAGGGACTTTTGAAAACATTTCTGCTCCATCAGTGCAATTATCATTCATCATAATTATCAATTAACATGATTAATAATAATAATTAGTAGGCCTCCTGTAGCTCAGTTGGTAGAGCATGGCGCTTGCAACGCCAGGGTTGTGGGTTCGATTCCCACGGGGGGGGGGGGCAGTATGAAAAATGTATGCACTCACAAACTGTAAGTCGCTCTGGATAAGAGCGTCTGCTAAATGTCTAAAAATGTAAAAAAATATATATATATTATTATTACCATGCAATTAATTATTTAAGGCTCAATTAATTTGTTGGTGTTTTTGTAAAGATCCATCTGGAGCTATATCTTGTGACAAATAAACACACCTTTGCAGTCTGAACGATGTGGTGAAAAAGAGCATCTCTGTTGTAGCCAGGTTCTGAACTGTGGCTTCAGTCAGTGTCCACAAAGAGGGAGGAAACCCTGACTGTACACAGACTTTGCTGTCCGAGCCATCAAAGATTTTTCAGTTACCACCCGTCCTACGCAGTCCGAGTCAAGCACCTCCTCCTCCCTCTTCCTTGTGGTCTGTTTCAGAGCCCCCTCAAACACGGTTGGGAGCTACTAGCCTAACGTAAGCTAACTAGTCAAGCGTGAGACCGAGACATTATCCAGAAAACAACAAACTAGCTAGCTACCTATTGGCCAGGTAAGACTAATTAGATTACAAAAATGTTGCCAAGATAACTCAGAAACCAATATTGCAGTAGTATAGCTAGCTAACATAGTTATATTAACCGCATTAAAAGCTAACCGGGTCTAAATTAAATTTCCTCTTCAACCTTGCCAGCTAGCAAGCTAGCCACCCCATCATTTCCGCATCTGATAGGCTAAGCTAATAAGCTAGCAAGTTATCGTTGGCAAATTAGTTATTTTTTCTTCTAAAATTCACCTAGGTAACGTTAACTAGTTAGTTAGCTAGGGCTGTTTACGTGGTATTCGTGCCCTGTAATATCAGACATGGCCGCAGAAATGATTAATAATTCATTAGTTGACCAGCTACTAGCTAGCAACTTTTATTTCGTGTTGAACTAGCTGTCTAGTTGTTAGCCAATTTAGTTAGCTAGCTGGGTAACAACCCTTCTGTGTTAGTTGTCTAGCTAGTTGCTACCAGGCTGTGTTGTCATGTGTTGCTGCCATGCTATGTTGTTCTCTTAGGTCTCTCTTTATGTAGTGTTGTGGTGTGTCTCTTGTCGTGATGTATGTTTTGTCCTATATTTTTAATCCCAGCCCCCGTCCCCGCAGGAAGCCTTTTGGTAGGCCGTCATTGTAAATAAGAATAGATAACTAGCAAGCTAATGTTGATTGATATCCCACTCATTTAGCTAGCTAGCTACTTTACTTGTGTTAACTAATTTTATTCTGATTGACATGCAAATATGAATAAATTAAAATAATGATATATAATTTAAAAGTACCCTTAGTGTTTTCAAAACATTAGACACAGTCTAGCTGTGTTGTTCCAGATCACAAATGCAGGAGACCGATTCGATCATATGAATGAATCAACGATTTTGACAAATTCATATTCTGAAGTGAGAGAACTATCCCTTTTTCATTTTATCCCCGTTATTTCATTTCAAGACAGTTCCACCACTGCTACAAAGATAGCTACAGCTAACATAGCCCTTGATCATGACTCGATCCATTACACATACGTTACATGACCAAAAGTACGTGGACACCTGCTCGTCTAACATCTCATTCCAAAATCATGGGCATTAATATGGAGTTGGCTGCTCGGCCATGGAAACCCATTTCATGAAGCTCCCGACAAACAGGTCTTGTGCTGACGTTTCTTCCAGAGGCCGTTTGGAACTCGGTAGTGAGTGTTGCAACCGAGGACAGACTATTTTTATGCTCTTCAGCACTCGGCGGTCCCATTTTGTGAGCTTGTGTGGCCTACCACTTCGCAGCTGAGCTGTTGTTGCTCCTAGAAGTTTCCACTTCACAATAACAGCACTTACAGTTAACCGGGGAAGCTCTAGCAGGGCAGAAATTTGACAAACTGACTTGATGGAAAGGTGGCATCCTATGACGGTGCCACGTTGAAAGTCACTGAGCTCTTCAGTAAGGCCATTCTACTGCCAATGTTGGCTATGGAGATTGCATGGCGGTGTGCTTGTTTTTATACACTTGTCAGCAACGGGTGTGGCTGAAATTGCCAAATCCACTAATTTGAATGGGTGTCCACATACTTTTGTATATATAGTGTAGCAATGAGTCATTGGACGAATGCGTCTTCTGTAGGGGGGGTTTGTTAAGAGCCATGATGTTCAGTCTGCACATTAACACATTGCTTGCGGTACAGTTTTGGAAGCATAAGGACCTTATCTTTCATATCGGTGAGAAATAATACTTTTTTATGATTAATTCATACACACCTTTATAGGGTTAGGGTTCCCACACGGCCATATTTCCATGTGACAACGCTTGTTTTGCGAAAAACAGACGGAAGACAGTGGACTACCTGTGTTAATTAGCAATCTGCGTCTTCTGAACACTTGTGTGTAAACAGAAGACAGACGCCACAAACATGTTCTCACTGAAAAATACTGTGATGCAACTGTGTTTTTTGCATTTGTGAAAATATTTTGATATGATATGAAAGTAGAGGGGTTTATGTTTCTAGAACCGTACTGCAATTGAGAATTGATTCAGTATGGAGTATTTGGCTGTTTTGGCTTCCAGAGCCAATTCGCCCTTTAAACAGAACATGTAAGGTCCTTGGACTAAGGAGTAACGTTAGGCTCCTTTAGTCCAATATTGGGCTACAGCGAACAAAGCTCTCAAACCCTTCTCTCCATTGGGTTTTCAGCGGTTAGCTTCACCCACGGCTGGCCGTGTGAACTACAATTCCAACACTGTGTTAGCAACGTCAATAACCATCGCTTGGAAAACAGTTTTCAAAACATTTAGCCAGTGCTCTAAATTTAAAATGTTAAAGTGTAGCACTGATGTTCCCAGCTAAAAAAAAGTTAGGAGCACCACATAAAATTTAGGAGCACCAGAAAATACAATTTATTTGATTGATTGAGATACAGCCTATATGAATTCTAGCTACTTTTGAAGCACATGTTGTGCCCTAGAAACTAATATGTAACACTGTGTAAAAGCACTATTGTCCTATTGAGATGCATTACATTGAAAATTGTACACTGTCTCTTTATAAAGTCAGGTTTGTGACGATGAAATGCAAGAGATCTGTCATTCATTCATTGCTATTACCGTTGATCTCATGAAGAAGCTATCTTTTCCTTTCTTTCTGTGCCCCCAAATGTTTGGATGTACTGATAAAGTTACCAGGTTCTTAGCTAGCTAGACAACGAGGTAACATGACTCAACAAAGTGTAAACAAATGGTTAACAATGTCGACGCGCGAGTAGTTATAGAACGGTCCATGACATGGTTTATGAATGTAAAATGCGGTTCTGGCGATCAGCTATAGGAAGATAAACATGTTGCGCCGGTAATATGGGTCAGATTTTTTGACCCGGTTGAGCTAGAAGCAAGCCGTTTTCGCTGTAGTAATGGTGCAACAATGACGCGAATGAATCTGCACTCGCTTATTTCTCTAGGGAACTCGGAAACAACGGTACAGCGAAGCATTATCATTATTTCAACTATTATCTGTGAGATTCTTTTCATAGTCGCACAGTGCTCCCAAAATAAAACTCTTGGTCGCACAGAAACATATTTTGTTGCATATGCGACCAAATTGGGCACACTTTAGAGCCCTGCATATGGCCCTTGTCTTTCATAGCAGCAAGAAAAAATATTTTCAATTAAAAAATATGCACGCTAGATAGCTAATTAGCACAAGTGGTCTCTTCTGTCTGTTTTCCGTAAACAAGTGCTGTTACATGGAGATATGATCGTGTGGGAACACTAACCCAATGAAGGTGTGTAATAATTTAACCTTTTATTTATTTTTTGTCGCTGATATAAAATATACATTCATTATGTTTCCAAAACCGTACCACAAGAGATGCGTGTCAGCGTTTAGAGCAAGCGTCGAGGCTCTTAACAAAAGTCCCCCAGGAAGAAGATACCTTCATCAATATGCACTAAAGGTAGTTGGCGCCTAATGAATGGGCTACAGCTAACATACTGTAACTATTATCTACGTAATATGTGGCCCATGCAGGACTTGACATCTCTGTTGCCAGTACCATCCCAACTCTTTGATCTGTAATGTATTTATGTCTGTCTCAACATTCTCTCTCGTTTGTTCAGGTATGGCAGCAATCCGAAAGAAACTGGTCATAGTGGGAGACGGAGCGTGTGGGAAGACCTGTCTGCTCATCGTATTCAGTAAAGACCAGTTCCCCGAGGTCTACGTTCCCACTGTCTTCGAGAACTATGTCGCTGACATTGAGGTCGATAGCAAACAGGTGAAAAAATATTCTCCCTTTGTTTTTTCAACCTGTATTTCTCTCGCTGTAAATTACATTATCGTACAAAGCAGGACAATCAATGAGAATTAACAGAATTCAATTCAGTCAACACTGCCACTGGCTCCTCCCAATTTGCAACCTCCCTCGAGGCTTGCCCAAATTGGGAAGGGCCAATAGTGGCAGACAGTGTTGGCAGATATCACATTTTGTAGTCATTGATTTCTCTAAGCAGTAAGTTGCCCAGCTGTGTATAAATATGTCATATTGCTGACTTTTCCTATAATAAATGTTGGATTGGCTATTCTGCAATCAGCATCATGCCTCTTCATTGTTTAATAATAGGTCAGATACACTGTATACAGTGGGGGAAAAAAGTATTTAGTCAGCCACCAATTGTGCAAGTTCTCCCACTTAAAAAGATGAGAGAGGCCTGTAATTTTCATCATAGGTACACGTCAACTATGACAGACAAAACGAGAAAAAAAATCCAGAAAATCACATTGTAGGATTTTTAATGAATTTATTAGCAAATTATGGTGGAAAATAAGTATTTGGTCAATAACAAAAGTTTCTCAATACTTTGTTATATACCCTTTGTTGGCAATGACACAGGTCAAACGTTTTCTGTAAGTCTTCACAAGGTTTTCACACACAGTTGCTGGTATTTTGGCCCATTCCTCCATGCAGATCTCCTCTAGAGCAGTGATGTTTTGGGGCTGTCGCTGGGCAACACGGACTTTCAACTCCCTCCAAAGATTTTCTATGGGGTTGAGATCTGGAGACTGGCTAGGCCACTCCAGGACCTTGAAATGCTTCTTACGAAGCCACTCCTTCGTTGCCCGGGCAGTGTGTTTGGGATCATTGTCATGCTGAAAGACCCAGCCACGTTTCATCTTCAATGCCCTTGCTGATGGAAGGAGGTTTTCACTCAAAATCTCACGATACATGGCCCCATTCATTCTTTCCTTTACACGGATCAGTCGTCCTGGTCCCTTTGCAGAAAAACAGCCCCAAAGCATGATGTTTCCACCCCCATGCTTCACAGTAGGTATGGTGTTCTTTGGATGCAACTCAGCATTCTTTGTCCTCCAAACACGACGAGTTGAGTTTTTACCAAAAAGTTATATTTTGGTTTCATCTGACCATATGACATTCTCCCAATCCTCTTCTGGATCATCCAAATGCACTCTAGCAAACTTCAGACGGGCCTGGACATGTACTGGCTTAAGCAGGGGGACACGTCTGGCACTGCAGGATTTGAGTCCCTGGCGGCGTAGTGTGTTACTGATGGTAGGCTTTGTTACTTTGGTCCCAGCTCTCTGCAGGTCATTCACTAGGTCCCCCCGTGTGGTTCTGGGATTTTTGCTCACCGTTCTTGTGATCATTTTGACCCCACGGGGTGAGATCTTGCGTGGAGCCCCAGATCGAGGGAGATTATCAGTGGTCTTGTATGTCTTCCATTTCCTAATAATTGCTCCCACAGTTGATTTCTTCAAACCAAGCTGCTTACCTATTGCAGATTCAGTCTTCCCAGCCTGGTGCAGGTCTACAATTTTGTTTCTGGTGTCCTTTGACAGCTCTTTGGTCTTGGCCATAGTGGAGTTTGGAGTGTGACTGTTTGAGGTTGTGGACAGGTGTCTTTTATACTGATAACAAGTTCAAACAGGTGCCATTAATACAGGTAACGAGTGGAGGACAGAGGAGCCTCTTAAAGAAGAAGTTACAGGTCTGTGAGAGCCAGAAATCTTGCTTGTTTGTAGGTGACCAAATACTTATTTTCCACCATAATTTGCAAATAAATTCATTAAAAATCCTACAATGTGATTTTTCTCAATTTGTCTGTCATAGTTGACGTGTACCTATGATGAAAATTACAGGCCTCTCATCTTTTTAAGTGGGAGAACTTGCACAATTGGTGGCTGACTAAATACTTTTTTCCCCCACTGTAAGCTTTAACTGGGAAGTTGGGCACAGTTGGCTGATGTCTCTTGAAATCCTTTGGCAGGTTGAGTTGGCACTATGGGATACAGCAGGTCAGGAGGACTATGATAGGCTGCGCCCCCTCTCTTACCCCGATACTGACGTCATCCTCATGTGCTTCTCCATTGATAGCCCAGACAGTTTGGGTGAGTATTTATATTGCTACGCGCACAGACACCCACACATACTGTGCAGACATATACAGTGAGGGAAAAAGTATTTGATCCCCTGCTGATTTTGTACGTTTGCCCACTGACAAAGAAATGATCAGTCTATAATTTTAATGGTAGGTTTATTTGAACAGTGAGAGACAGAATAACAATAAAAAAATCCAGAAAAAACGCATGTCAAAAATGTTATAAATTTACATTTTACATTACATTTTAGTCATTTAGCAGACGCTCTTATCAAGAGCGACTTACAGTTAGTGAGTGCATACATTTTCATACTGGACATTTCACATTCTTAAAATAAAGTGGTGATCCTAACTGACCTAAAACAGGGAATTTTTACTAGGATTAAATGTCAGGAATTGTGAAAAACTGAGTTGAAATGTATTTGGCTAAAGTGTATGTAAACTTACGACTTCAACCGTATTTAGCCATGGAACACGTTCTGATTGGCCAGTGAGGGGTCAAGCCTCGACACACCTTCAACTTGCTTGCACCTTTAACTTGTTTATTCAAGTTGAAGGCAGTGGTGACGCAGTAGCCACCACCAGCTACTGCGCCCATAATTCTGGTTGTGAAAATAGCAAAAATATTTCTGACACACCCTGAACCTATAGCCGTGGCCCCATTGTGCACATGTTGATTTTGTCTATCCCCACCAGACACGTTCATGACAGGTAGATTAAAATATCAAAACCAACTGAGAAGCAACTATATTCATTTGGGGACAGATTGGACATTTAGCTAGCTTGCTGTTGATAGCTAATTTGTCCTGGGAGATAAACATTGGGTTGTTATTTTTTGATAAATTGATTTGCATTTTAATGAGGGAAATAAGTATTTGACCCCTCTGCAAAACATGACTTAGTACTTGGTGGCAAAACCCTTGTTGGCAATCAGAGGTCAGACGTTTCTTGTAATTGGCCACCAGGTTTGCACCTCTCAGGAGGGATTTTGTCCCACTCCTATTTGCAGATCTTCTCCAAGTCATTAAGGTTTCAAGGCTGACCTTTGGCAACTCGAACCTTCAGCTCCCTCCACAGATTTTCTATGGGATTAAGGTCTGGAGACTGGCTAGGCCACTCCAGGACCTTAATGTGCTTCTTCTTGAGCCACTCCTTTGTTGCCTTGGTCGTGTGTTTTGGGTCATTGTCATGCTGGAATACCCATCCACAAACCCATTTTCAATGCCCTGACTGAGGGAAGGAGGTTCTCACCCAAGATTTGACGGTACATGGCCCCATCCATCGTCCCTTTGATGCGGTGAAGTTGTCCTGTCCCCTTAGCAGAAAAACACCCCCAAAGCATAATGTTTCCACCTCCATGTTTGACGGTGGGGATGGTGTTCTTGGGGTCATAGGCAGCATTCCTCCTCCTCCAAACACGGCGAGTTGAGTTGATGCCAAAGAGCTCCATTTTGGTCTCATCTGACCACAACACTTTCACCCAGTTCTCCTCTGAATCATTCAGATGTTCATTGGCAAACTTCAGATGGGCCCTGTATATGTGCTTTCTTGAGCAGGGGGACCTTGCGGGCACTGCAGGATTTCAGTCCTTCACGGCGTAGTGTGTTACCAATTGTTTTCTTGGTGACTATGGTCCCAGCTGCCTTGAGTTCATTGACAAGATCCTCCTGTGTAGTTCTGGGCTGATTCCTCACCGTTCTCATTATCATTGCAACTCCACAAGGTGAGATCTTGCATGGAGCCCCAGGCCGAGGGAGATTGACAGTTATTTTGTGTTTCTTCCATTTGCGAATAATCGCACCAAGCTGCTTGGCGATGGTCTTGTAGCCCATTCCAACCTTGTGTAGGTCTACAATCTTGTCCCTGACATCCTTGGAGAGCTCTTTGGTCTTGGCCATGGTGGAGAGTTTGGAATCTGATTGATTGATTGCTTCTGTGGACAGGTGTCTTTTATACAGGTAACAAACTGAGATTAGGAACACTCCCTTTAAAAGTGTGCTCCTAATCTCAGCTCGTTACCTGTATAAAAGACACCTGGGAGCCAGAAATCTTTCTGATTGAGAGGGGGTCAAATACTTATTTCCCTCATTAAAATGCAAATCAATTTATAACATTTTTGACATGCGTTTTTCTTGATTTTTTGTTGTTGTTATTCTGTCTCTCACTGTTCAAATAAACCTACCATTAAAATTATAGACTGATCATTTCTTTGTCAGTGGGCAAACGTACAAAATCAGCAGGGGATCAAATCCTTTTTCCCCTCACTGTATACATGCCTACAGACTCCTACTGGCCTTGACTTCTGCCCTTCCTCTTTGTTTAGAAAACATCCCGGAGAAGTGGACTCCAGAAGTCAAACACTTCTGCCCTAACGTTCCCATTATCCTAGTGGGCAACAAAAAGGACCTGCGTAATGACGAGCACACCCGCAGAGAGCTAGCCAAGATGAAGCAGGTACAGTCAGTCTCTCTCTCTCTCTCTCTCTCACTCACTCACTCACTCACACAATTCTCAGAAGATCAATATGTGGCTTTCCTGACTCCACATTCTGTCCCCCCACTCCTCACAGGAGCCTGTGAAGCCAGAGGAGGGCCGTGACATGGCGAACCGGATCAGTGCCTTCGGCTACATGGAGTGCTCTGCAAAGACCAAGGATGGTGTGAGGGAAGTGTTTGAGATGGCCACGAGGGCGGCGCTACAGGCCAGGCGGGGGAAGCAGAGACATAAATGCCTCCTACTGTAAAAGGAGGGAAGGCGTGAGGGACACGGCCTCCCACTGGGTGCAAGAGGAACAATAGAAGATAAGAAATTAGGTCTATTCCCCCATTCGCTCCAAAAAAGACTGCTCACCAGTTTTTACTAAAGGTGTAATGCTTTTAATTTTCTGTCTTAAAGCAAAACAAGTTAAATAGTCATTGTTTTGTCAGTATTCAACGATGATGGTGAGGTTATGGAAATGCTTTTTTTGTACTTGTACATGAGTGAATCTGCCAATCAACACTTCCCTTGTGAACCTGTATGGCCACGTAACTGACATAGTCAGCCAGGGGTGTAATCATTAGTCAAAACGTTTTGCAACGGAAACTAGTTTCCATTGGGCAAATTCAGGTAGGTGGCTCCCCATTTTTTTCCTGTTTGGTTCCTAGTGAATACACCCCAGGGGACCTATTGTTGTGTCATACCTGCCAATTAAGTGCTTGAGCCCTGCCCACTAAACTGAGGAACATTTCCACAGCCAATCAGGGCGGGGTATCCATACACTGTGACCAATAGTCTTTATGATTATTTTGTAATTTTTGATTATGCACAGGCATAAAATTGTTTAAATAAATGTGCTTCATATAAAACCCAATGTGCATCTATTCATATGCTCCCACATGGACAATTTTTGAACACTTAGTTTAACACACATGGAAATTTGGTATCTTTGTGTAGTAAATAACTTTAAGATTCTTGAGACAGTGGAAGTTAATGGGAACTGGATGATGGCAGATGTTGGTACAGATACAAGCAAAATACATATGGTAAATATTAGTTTTAAATTATTTGTAAGAGATAGTCAGAGAGTTTGCAATTGCAAAGAACAAAAATGTGTTCTGCTTCCATAATCTGTCCATACTGAGTTCCCAGCACTCAAGACAAATAGAGGGAGGATAACAGGTTTGATTTATTTAAAAGTTTTGTAACACACTCATAGATGCATTCATAAATGGTACTAAGGTACAGTATATACAGTCAAATGCGTACATGGTTAAATATCCCTACAGATTTTAGGTCTTTGGTGTGATTGCCGAACTTGTTCAACACAATATTTTTCAACATGCAAATGTATTTAATATTGTTTTTTGTAACGTATTGTGTGCTTCACTTTTTCCATTGTTGGATTGAGCCCATTTTCACTATATTTACATTCCTGAGGGGTCTGTCATTAGGCTATGGCACATTCTACTAGGAGTGTGACAGTGGATCTCACATGATTGTCATGCAAGGTCTGGAGAGCTGGGGCCGTATTTATGAAGTGTCTCTGAGTAGGAGTGTTGCTCTACGATCACTCCCCACCCCGTCCATGTAGTCTTATTCATTGCGATCTAAAAGGCCATTGTGATCCGAAATCAGCACTCCTTCTCTGAGTAGCTTGATACGGCCCCCTGATGACAGAAAGCTCATGGGTTCAAAACTTCAAACGTCATTGGTGTTTCTTGGCTGGGGCACGGGAGTGGGCGATGACGACTGGAATCGCAGCCATTGCAAACAGCCCCACAGCCACCAGGGAGCGATAGAAGATCCAGCCAGAGGCGATGGTGAGCAGGGAGAGGGAGCAGGAGACACACAGGGCGAAGAGCTTCAGCCCCAAGCTGACCAGCTCTCAGAATAAGGACCCAATCCACTGTGGATAAATTAACAAAAGACATGTTGGTAACACTTCATTTTAAGGGGTCCTTATTACAGTGTAATTACACTAACAAGTATTGTAGTTAACTGTAACATAGTTACATTGTAATAATATGTAACTGCTAGTACATATTGTAACTTTACAAGTTAAGTTGTGGGGCTTGCTAAAGCGCTTTCAAAGTTTTATTATGGTAATGAAATAAGTTTTAAAAGTATTTTGATTATGTTATTCAAATAGGGAAATCATTTTTAATTCCCGTCTATAGTCAGTAGATTTAGTCAGTAGTTGTGGTCAGTAGTTATGTGGTTGTGGTATGCAGTTGTGTGGTTGTGGTCACTAGATGTGGTAAGCAGTTATGTGGTTGCGGTCAGAGGTTGTGTGGTTGTTGTCGGTAATTGTGTGGTTCTGGTCAATAGTTGTGTGGTTGTGGTCACTAGATGTGTGGTTGTGGTCAGTTGTTGTGGTCAGTAGATGAGTGGTCAGTAGTTGTGTGGTCAGAATTTGTGTGGTTGTGGTCAGTAGTTGTGTGGTTGCGGTCAGAAGTTGTGTGGTTGTTGTCGGAAATTGTGTGGTTTTGGTCAGTAGTATTGTTTTTGTGGTCACTAGATGTGGTTAGAAGTAGTGTGGTTGTGGTCAGATGTTATGTGGTTGTGGTCAGAATTTGTGTGGTTGTGGTCAGAAGTTGTGTGTTTGTGGTCAGTAGCTGTGTGGTTGTGGTCACTAGATGTGGTCACAAGTTGTGTGGTTGTGGTTAGAAGTTGTGGTCAATAGTTGTGTGGTCAGAGGTTGTGTGGTTGTGGTCAGTAGTTGTGTTATTGTGGTCAGTAGTTGTGTGGTTGTGGTCAGAAGTTGTGTGGTTGTGGTCAGTAGTTGTGTGGTTGTGGTCACTAGATGTTTGGTTGTGGTCACTAGATGTGTGGTTGTGGTCAGAATGTGTGCGGTTGTGGTCAGTAGTTGTGTGGTTGCGGTCAGAAGTTGTGTGGTTGTTGTCGGATATTGTGTGGTTCTGGTCAGTAGTATTGTTTTTGTGGTCACTAGATGTGGTTAGAAGTAGTGTGGTTGTGGTCAGAATGTGTGTGGTTGTGGTCAGAAGTTGTGTGGTTGTGGTCAGTAGCTGTGTCGTTGTGGTCACTAGATGTGGTCACAAGTTGTGTGGTTGTGGTCAGTAGATGTGTGGTTGTGGTTAAAGTTGTGTGGTTTAGGTCAGTAGTTGTGGTCAAAAGTTGTGGTCAGAGGTTGTGTGGTTGTGGTCAGACATTGTGTGGTTGTGGTCAGTAGTTGTGTGGTTGTGGTCAGTAGTTGTGTGCATCTGGTCAGCAGTTGTGTGGTTGTGATCAGTAGTTGTGTGGGTGTGGTCACTAGATGTTTGGTTGTGGTCACTAGATGTGTGGTTGTGGTCAGTTGTTGTGGTCAGTAGATGAGTGGTTGTAGTCAGGAATGGTGTGGTTGTGGTCACTAGATATGGTTAGCAGTTGTGTTTTTGTGGTCAGTGGTTGTGGTCAGTTGTTTTGGTCAGTGGTTGTAGTCTGCAATTGTGTGGTTCAGTTGTTGAATGGTCAATATTTGTGTTGTTGTGGTCAGTAATTGTGGTTACTCTCTTCACTCTCCTCATAATTTCTGCTCTCTGTGTCTGAGTATCCTAGCTACGGCTCCGTTTTGGAATCTCATTGATGACACAGCGAGCTGTTGCTTGAAAGAGAGCCGGCGATGGGTTATAAAACGGCTCTAGTTACAGATTGGTACACACGTTTTCTTATCTGATTTCGGATTTGACAAGCAGAGAAGTAGGGGAAGATTTAATATGTTTCTCTAACTTGTTGCATTAGTGGTGAAAACTTCAGTTGTTTGGGAAAATTGGAAGAAGATGTGGTAATGCAGTTACTAAAACAGCTGTACCGTAAGATCCATAGTGAATATTTTAATTCCGCGAACAGATATAAATAGCAGAGAAGTAGACAAATATTCCATGCACTAACTTTATGTCTAACTTGTTGGGGTAGTGGTCAAAACGGCAGCATTTTTTTTTTTATGCTACAGAAAATGTTGTGGTTACTTAAACTGCTGTAACTTTTCATCAGAATATAATTTTTTGTTCAAATGCCAGATTTGAGTACCAGAGAAGTAGAGGAAGATGCGAACGCTCTAACTTTTTGTCTAAATTGTTGCAAAGTGGAATAATTAGCTGATTCGTGTCAAAAGTTGCATGATTTCACTTATAAACTGGGTGGTTCGAGCCCTGAATGCTGATTGGCTGACAGCCTTGGTATATCAGACCGTATACCACGGGTATGACAAAACGTTTATTTTTACTGCTCTAATTACATTGGTAACCAGTTTACAATAGCAATAAGGCACCTCTGGGGTTTGTGGTATATGGCCAATATACTACGGGTAATGGCTGTATCCAGGCACTCTGCGTTGCGTCGTGCAAAAGAACAGCCCTTAGCCATGGTATATTGGCCATATACCACACCCCCTCGGGCCTTATTGCTTAATTAGAGAATGGCAGTTGGAAGTGATAATGTCACAATGGGGAGCTTTAGAATGTTGAAGAAATGCCATGAAAGCGGATGGAAGACAAAAAAAATGACAAAAAAAATAATAATGTCAAAAGTATAACAGATATCAAAAAGTTGTATACAAGTAACTTGAGTGAGACCATTCCGCACATTTTGAAGTTTGAAAGCCATTTCTAGCTTAAACGGTGTAAGAGGAGTAGCGTGCTAAAGAATAATAATAAGAAGTATGTTGAATATCTAAGATGGGGCTCTTGCTGTGCAAGCCCCACAATTACAGAGGTGTAACAATGAATGCTTGTTACCCTGCGTGTTACAAGTGCGCAGGTTTCCACTAAATTCACCAACTTAGTGTTTCGCTTCTAATTAGCATAATACAAAATTCCCAAAAAAATCCATCAATTTAAGATAGAGATATGTTTTTTTGCATGGGCTACGTCTCAATCCACTGATGTCGCCCTTCCGTATCTGCGGTGAAAGGTGGCAGAGCTAGAGTGGTGTTTGTCAGACCATGAGACATCCCAAAAATCGGTCTTCTCACGAAAACGTCTGTAGCGTCCGAATGGCCTACAAGCTATTATGGAAAGATGGAGACTCTCACGAACAAGTTGGTGTTCTCCGTTTTGCTCTATGAACCCCACAAGCATCATGGGACAGTACAGCCGATCTGCCAACTTCTGTCTGTAACATCCGAACAGTTTGGGCTACACACTAATATGATCCCTCTATGGAAAGGTGAGTCTCTCACGTACATGTCAGTTGTTTTGCTCTACGAGCACAAGCCTCACAAGACTAGTCTGAAGGTAGCCGGGTACCAATTTAAAAAATGAATGGAAGTATATATGGAGATAGTTTAATGCCTAAAATAAGGGGTTAAATACATATAAAAAATTAAAATTAAAAAATGGTTTCCGGATCTTTCTTATACAGTGGGGAAAAAAAGTATTTAGTCAGCCACCAATTGTGCAAGTTCTCCCACTTGAAAATATGAGAGAGGCCTGTAATTTTCATCATAGGTACACGTCAACTATGACAGACAAATTGAGAATTTTTTTCTCCAGAATATCACATTGTAGGATTTTTTATGAATTTATTTGCAAATTATGGTGGAAAATAAGTATTTGGTCACCTACAAACAAGCAAGATTTCTGGCTCTCACAGACCTGTAACTTCTTCTTTAAGAGGCTCTTCTGTCCTCCACTCGTTACCTGTATTAATGGCACCTGTTTGAACTTGTTATCAGTAT